CACACTTAGTTTTCCTTGTGTCCTCCCCCCCCCCCAGGTGTGTGGATGTCACACTACGCTCAAGAGTTTCAACTTAAAAATGTATTCAAGTACCCCAACTATGAACAGGAATGTACCTTATTTGTGTATTGAAATGTATCTCCAACATAAACTACTTTTTATTGTTTTAGATTAGAATGGGGAAGAGTGAGAACCTCCGTTAGGTTAACATTGCCGTCTTAGCCTTGTTGGAGCTAAACAATACTTTAAACCAGAGGTCACTAAATAGAGGACCATGGTCCAGACATCACCATCCTGCACCGGGTTATGGCTGGCTCACAGTGGATACACTGACCTGAGGCCTGAGCCATAACCCAGCTCAGTGACCCCCTCCGCTTCAGTCAGTGGTTGCTAGCCACCCAGATCACTTAAACTAGCCTGCAACTGTGTTCCCCCCCCCCCATGGTTTTCAGAGTCCCCTGCTCCTCCGGCAGGGCCTAGGACCACAGCATTGGGCGTCAGGATAGAGAGTGGGAGCAGACCGGGGAACGTCCATTCCCCAATCTGCTCTGTGATGAATGAAGCAGGGACGCTGTGCTATCAGCACTTCCTGCTTCAGAACTGTCAGAAGCCAGCTAAAGTGAACAGACAATGAAGCACATACCCGATTGATCATCTGTATTGGAGGGCAGGAGAGACATTGAGAGATTAATAGACCCTTGATGGCTCCATAAAGAGAACCGGTCACCTCCAAATGATGTCACAAATTAGCATGTTAACCGCCTTTGTGGTAACAGAAGTGAAAAAAATTAAAAAAGAAATAAAACCAACCCTGCCATCCGATTTGAATGAACATGTATGTGCCAACTGAGTGATCGTTCTGTCCGGATCGCCATTCGGACCTCTGCGCGATGAAAATTGTATTCGCCTGACCACCTTGAAATTTTAATTCACTATCCCTGCTTTAAACAGTAAACCCAGAAAATCTGTGAGGGCATCCATTAGCAGAGGTTGCCATCAGTGAAAACAGCATGTCAATGTAAGAAGTACATCGAGAGATATGAAGCAGAGGAGATCAACAAATCTCAACTTGTCCTGTAAAATGTACGCCTGGCTGCACCCTACCTCATGTCCCAATCGATCACTGAGGTCACCCATCACAAGAAGAACTAATAGGGACACTTTGGCTGTGGGCCCAACTTCAACAAGAAAAAAAATGGAGATTTGCATACAACTTCACCTGCCTGTATTTCTGGATCTACGAATCATTGTGCCACATACACTTTTCACTGAATTAACCTCCGCAGGTGTAATATTCATCATAAACTTGGTTTAAATAGCCCCGGTTCTTGAAAAGTTTGATTTTAGCAGTAAGGTGGTATCAAGCTGAACTTCAGTTTATGTTAATTTATCACTCCTCCTGCTACATTGTCAAACTTTAAGGATCCATTTTTTTTTATTTTTTTCCTGAGCCCGTGGAACACAACTTCCCCCTGTGAACAATAAAAGTGAACCGTGAAATCACAGCACACAAAAACATGCACAAGGGTGCTTGGTCCTTCAATTAAGAAGGGACCTCGAATTCCCGACCCCCTGGGGCGCAAGGCTCCTGACAGGGGTTGAGATACTATGGTCCACCTACCCGAAGGCAGGCGGACCCCGATCCTTTGGGGACCTGCCGAAACAGGTCCCACATAGTACTAGGTAGGGGGCTCTCCCGAAGAGAGACCCCCTGGTTCGGGAGGAGGCAGAGAACCCTTTATTAGGGCACAGAACCTCCTCCCCAGCATCGGGAATAGGCCCCGAAGGAACCTGCACCCTAAGCATTCTGTGGGTCAAAATTTAAAAAACGAAAAAACGTGCCAATCGTGCAATAAATATAGTGCCAGTGCACCACGCTGACAGGCCCTAGTGCAAAAAAATTGCCCCGGACTAGCCATAAGGCCTGTCCATGTGGTGTGTGACCGAGTGTATCAGTGAGTCAACTTTAAGGATCAATAGTGTGAGTGAGACCCCATTGTGTGTGATAGGAGACACCAGCAGAGCTGGGAATTGGTGCAGAGGTCTTGCTCTTGGACTCTACACGAGACATTGAGGGAGACTGATCAAAACTGGGGCAGATGTGCATGGCAACCAATCAGCTTCTCTCTTCTGTTTGTTCAGTTAAAATGTGAAAATGAAAGAGAGAAGCCGATTGGTTGCCATGCACAGCTGCCCCAGATTTTGTCCGCTCCACTTTTGATAAAACCCCCTTTATGAATCCAACCTGCTTGACACCACCTCTGATATTTTAATTTGGGTGGACTGACTCTAAAAAAATACAGACCTACTTTTGTCTACAAAACCCAGTATGGGTTCCCCATGTGCAAATACAGTGGTACCCTCGGTTCGTGAACAGGAAGTTCGGCAACATTTTGCTTCTGTTCGCGAACTCCGCATCAGGTGACTAACACAACCGCAGCCATCGTCCCTACTTGATATGTGGTCGTGGCTTCCTCTAGGTCGAGACTGCATTCCAATGCTGCAGCGTAGGGGAAAAGAGGCAGGAGGGAGTGATGTCACAGCCAGCCGACTCAGAGGATCAGGTGAAAATAACTTGTTCTTTTCAGCCCTAGACCAAATTAAGCAATTAACCCTTGCAATGCAGGGGTAAATCATAATTTTTCCTAAAGTTCTACTTTAAAGTAGATGAAAAGTAAAACTCCTAAATTGAAAAAGTTGGTTAATACCTTTTGAAATAATGACTAAACGGCCAGTTCTCCTGTTCAAGCCCTAAACAGCCTCCAAAGCTTCTGTGAGCCGGGAACGATGTGCCAAGTTTCCCCATCATTTCCTTACCTACAGCGGCTGCATATCACTTCGCTGTCCACACTTCAATAGCCAAAGCTGAGGTGACAACACTAATGTCATATTGATGACAGTGTTGTCACGTCTGTATAGAAAGTGCCATAATTGCAGGAGCAACAGGCCATTCTTTTCCATAGCGCTATTTCTGTAACATATTAAAATCATGGCAACTGGACTTGCTGTATTTTTCTTGAAGATATTTTGCTGGTCATCTGACTAGCTTTCTCAAATTTAGAAACTGCTAGACCCGCTAGTCAGATGGCCAACAAAACGTCTAAGAAAAATACAGCAAGTCCAGTTGCCTTGATTTATTCTATACAAATATACATAGTGGTGTATTTAGGTTTTGTGCTGCCCTAGGCAAGACTACACTGGGGCACCCCCTCCCCATCTAAATTTGCCCCACCCCTTCCTGTATAAGACATTTTGCGTAACCAGTCAGTCGCTGGATACAGCATGCATGCTGTATCCAGCTTCTGACGGGTTGCGTTTATTTGCCTAATTAGGCAGCCAAGGCTGCCTTATTCTGTGTGGCCCGGCTTGATGCGTTAATTTGGGGGCAGCATTTTCCCACGCCCTGCAAAGTGCCACCCAAGGCCTTGTGGTGGATACACCCCTGGAAATACCTTGACCCGGATGAATGAGAACC